CTACAATGTTAAAAATGGAAGTGCTGCACTGAATTGAAACCTCTTAGCTTTTCGATAACACTAGGCCTGAAAAGCTTAGGCTTTCAAAAGCAGGGAGCGAATCCGCTATCCCCAAATTGGTGTCTCCTCCATGTCCCCTCTCTAATTTGCTGACACGTGTCAACTAAAATAACGAGAAGTTAACTCCGTTAACTTTTTTATTTGACAATTTTAAAAATTAAAAGAATTAAAAACTGCCCAAATAACCCAACGTCGTCTTCCTTGCAAAACCTAGCGAACGTCGTCTTCCTTGCTAAACCCAGCAAGCGTCGTCTTCTCCGCGAGAGTTTTCTCCTCTTCTCCAATTGCAACCAACGAGCGTCGTCTTCCTTGCAAAAACCAGCCATACCCACTCTCCTCCCTCATAATCACTGCATCTTCTCCACCATCAACTCTCAAACGCTTGCAAAACTCAATTCTCCTCCCTCCTAATCTCTGTTTGGAAATTGCAGCACCATTAAACCAATCGATTATACCTTTTGTTGAAGCGGGTATGGAGGCGAGCAAAGCCCTGTGTATTGGAAACTTATATAATATACACTAAATCAAAGTATTATTTATTCAATTTTCTTTGTTAGGTTTTATCTTCATGATATGTTTGATTTTATATTCATAGTAATCAATCTTTTGAACAATCCCAGCCATATATTCATAGGAATCAACCTTTTGATTTCATAGGAATCAAACCCAGTCATATATAATAATCAATCCCTGTCTCGATTAAATTAATTGTTATTTTATGATTATTGTTTTATATATAGATTCATAACGTGTTGCCAATTTTCTCAAGGACATGAACGGGGAAAATAATTACAGAGATGATGATGGAACTCAAGCAAGTCTGAAGCTAATTTTTGAAACAGGTGTGGACTTCTATGGCATTTCACAAGTAATGTTAAATATGTTAAATTTGTCTTTTTTTTGGTGTCTATCTACGGCATTTCACAAGTAATGTTAAATATGTTACTGACTTAACTTATATATATTCTTCATGTGTGCTTCTTTGTATACTAGCAATACTACATAAGAACCCACAATACTTTGAGCAACTATCAACAAGGTCCAACTAGCATGATGAATTTATTGCAGGTAATTCCTTGTAATTGGTTACTACCTTTTGTTTTCTCGTGAATGAGTACTAACTTATTTCATTGTATACACATATATGCAGGCAGAATTACCACAAGAAGAAGAATTAAGCTTACTGAGCTCTGAAGGACTAGACTTGCTGAGCTCTGAATTGACATGCAGTGCCAAGACACATGATATGGACGTCCAAGATGTTGAATGAGAAGAATGTTGAAGAATTTTTCCTTCTTTTGGACTCAAAGTTTCATTTAAGAATATTTGGTTATGACATTTGGAACAAGCATGTATTTACCTTTTGTATTGTTAAAGACTTCATATGTATGACAATTTTAATGGGCATTTGATGTCATATATTATTTATGTGGAATCAATTATAACTGAATATTGCTCGTTGTTAAGTGGTAGGACAAGTATTGAACAATACTATATTTCATTCTTTCCCTCATGAGGGGAAAAAAGATTTATCTTCAGTAAGTCAATAAACTGGCAAAATGCATACATCTCGCTGCAACATTTTGTCAAACACATTGTGCATTCAACTTTTTCAGACCCTATGACATTGATTGGTGTAGGGGTAGGGGCACTTCCTTGTAGTTGCTGGAGCAGATCTTTTTCTTCTGGAATTGCAGCCGCAGTGTTCAAATCCATCAGCTTCTCTTCTCCTTCACAAGGTTTAATTAACTCAAACTCAAACTCAACTGGCACCATTGCTTGGTTGGTCACAACAGAAACTGATGATGGAGGAGGAGGAGGGTATGGAAGAAGAGACAGAGTCATTAAACTGGTGCTTTTGACGGCATCAAAGCTTGTTGGTATGGGAAGCTGTGGAAGAGCATGAGCAAAACCATCCAAGGTGATGGGTCCTCTCCTCTGCCTCTTGAAGGTTGTTGGTGACAGAGCAAAACCATCACCTCGTGAATATCGTTAAACTCCAAATAACTAAATCTCTATGTCATAACAGCAGTACATTCAACTCCAATTAACCATTTAATTCACAAATTCTTCAAAGATAGCCAAACACATGAAAGACCCCAAGGAAGAGGACGCTCGCTGGGTTTAGCAAGGTAGAACGCTTGCTGGGTTTAGCAAGGAAGGACCCTCGCTGGCTGCTGGGTTATTTGGGCAGTTTTTAATTTTTTTAATTTTTAAAATTGTCAAATAAAAAAGTTAACGGAGTTAACTTCCCGTTATGTTAGTTGACACGTGTCAGCAAATTAGAGAGGAGACATGGAGGGGACACCAATTTGGGGACAGCGGATCCGCTCCCTCAAAAGCATGTAGCTTTTTTCCTTCTTCTTCACGTCTGGTGTCACAACTCATAGGCAATGGCAATTTTCTCCATGAGTAAAGGTCTTCGCAAGGATTTGATCCTAATGGGTCAAGTATGAATGATAACAAAAATAATAATTTTTTTATTAAAAAAAAAAAAAAAAAAAGGGGAAAAGTACAATAAATCAGATTTTATGCTTAATTAGGTAACTTGCTGAGTTGGATCCTAGTCATGGGTTTTTACTTATACAAATTGGGTATTATTTATATGAACAAAAAGTGAAGGGTTTTAGGTATGGCAAATTGAATTTAAAGGGTGTAAGCCAAATTTACTATTTTTTTTTTCTTTTCGTTCCTCTTAAGTCAATCTTTATTATCAAGCAATGGAAAGTTGACTATAAAATTTAGGATCCAGTGCACCGTCAGAAATGAGGCGCTAATATAATAGTTTATATTAGCCATTGCAGACATATAATATCACCACTACCATCAATTATCACAAAATAGGAAGCTGCTAAGCAAGTGGTTACTATTATATATGTATGTACATAGACTTAAACCATAATCATTAAATTGTTTCGGATTTGAGTATTTTTTGCATGAGTGATCTGTAAGGTAATACCCACCTGACATTTTGGTGGCCCATGGCCAAAAATTAAATGAGGCCCTTAGTGTATATGTTTTATTTTTAATTTGCTCATTCATTTTTCTTTTTATGGCAAAGCCCCATGAAATGACTAAGTCTGCTTAAATAGAATAATTTCATTCAACTAACAAAAAAAAAAAAAAAGGTGAAAATGCCCAAAAAAAAACCTTTTAAAAAAAAAAATTTTTTTAAAAAAAAAAAAAAAAAAAAAAGGGTATGGGTACAGGTTCAGGGGAATTTTTGGGTATGGTGTTTGGGGAGGGGTGGGGATGGTATTCTAACCCTCGAGCCGAACCCATCCCATTTAGAATATATATAATTTATTTTCAATATAAATATATTATTAATATGTGTCATGGTGGCACTACCTCTATAATGATAATCATGTCTTGGACATGTAGTTTTGACATGTATTAATGTTTTTTTTTAAATAGTCTAGATTTTTAGTTAATAAAAATTGAATTGATACATATGTTGTGCTCATAGTACTTTTTTCTTATTCAACATAGTGCTTTTATTGATTAATTTTTTTCATAATGGGGCGGGTCGGAAACCCATCCCCCAACAAAGGTGGGGATGGGGAATCCATAATTTGAATATTGCGGGGATGGGGAATACCCGATTTGAATATTGCGGGTATGAAGGCATGAATGGGGGGAAAATGCTTAACAGGGACATGGATTGGAATGATATACCCACTCCCGATTCGACCCATTACCACCTCTCGTCGCTCGCTCTCACACCCTCAAGCCGCATCATCTATCTCCACATTCAGGTAAGATTTCACTTTATTCTTGTCTGATAGGCTCATCGTCTCAACTCCCTCTCATCTCCATCCTCTCAGCTCTCAATTGGTGCTGCCTTTATCAAATCGCAGAGCTGCTTGGGGATAATTAACTCTATGTAAGCTTTCTCGATATCCAATTAGGGATTTTTTGTAAATTTGAAATTAGGGTTTCGTGTGAATTCAAATTGGGGTTCAGTCAAGGTTTTTCGAAATTGAAATTGTGGTTTGTCTCTCTCAAATAGCCTAAATGTGTTTGGTCCTATGATTTCAAAGAGTTGTGTTTTAAATTGAACTAGGGTTTCTGTAGACGGCGAATTGTGACGGTTTAGGGTTTATGTACATGTCAAATCTCTGTTTAATGTTTCCCAATTTACCTAGTTTGGTATCCTGGAAAATGTTGTCACATTCACATTCACTTGTTTTGCTGTATAGAGTGGGTTACTTTAAATGGCTATGTTTTGCTGCATAGATTCATTTCATGTATGCATAGATGTCTTTTCAAATTATTTGGTATGAAGTAGTTGATTTTGGGCTATGTTTTTGGTATGCTGGCTGGTAGTTCAAATTGCATTTTGTTTTATTGCTGCTGGGTATTCTGTTTTATTGATTAGTTTCTGTTGCAGAGGTCGTAGAAAGAATGGCAGTTCTGGCTGAGAAATAAAGATTCTCTACTGATACATGACCAAAATATCAATTTCACCCCCTTATCTGTTTTCTTTTCTGGGTTAAGAAGTTTTTCCACTAGTTTCAATTTGACCAATATCAAAATGCAACAGGGAAATCAGAATTACAGTAGCAAATAAATTTGTCTTTACTGAGACACCATAAAAAATGCAGGTAGGTGGGTGAATTGAAGCAAGACTTTGGGGACTTGAAGAATCTAGCAGAGCATGTTACCAAACAGATTGCAATGCATGAATTTGAAAGAAAGTAATCCCAAAGGCAGAAAGGGAAATATCGATGCTATTTATTCTTGTACATTGAAGAAATACTTGTAACTCAATGCAGTGGATTCATAATATTCAATAAATTTAAAAGATTGTTTGATTTCAAGTATAACTGACTTTTCTTAATCTCGAGTGGTTCCTCCACTTGTGTTCTTGGACATATTGTAAGCTTCTAGATTAGCAAGTTAACAGGAGATAAATAACCAATAATAAAATGGTAAAGTTTAACAAATGGGTACTAAAATTCGAAGTGTGGTCTAGACTGACAAAATTCTGTGTAGCAAATTTGTTTCTTCAAATTACCACCTAGGTTAGCAAATGACATATTTTATGTGAAAATTTGACGGGTGGTTAGAGATTCTCAAGTTCCTAACAGCTGTAATATGCATATTCCTAACAGAAACATGAGAGTGAACGTTGGCATCTGTCTAGTGCTTGTGCAAACTCTTGAGGATGGTGAACTGGGATATAACTCGCTGCAATGACCCCAATTTACAGATTGATTTCAGCAATCAATGCGCCCATTACTTACAGAGCTAGATGGCTGTACTTCTCTTATAATAAATGCACTTCTCAAGAGCAATTGCTAGAGCATCATTCCATCCTTAAACGTTTTGAATGTGTTTCTCTCATCCACTCGAGGCATTCTTCTGCAGTGGCTGAGGGGCGAGCAAGCTGCCATGCAAGTATCTTTTGTTGCTGCCAAGTAAAGAATACATTATTAGCATTTGAAGTTTCATAACAGTCTTTTTGGTACTGGAATTAGAGTATATAGCTTACCCATTCTCGGACAAGTGGTCCTCCAGATTTAAGCTGCAAAACATTCATGATATCCCTTCCATTCACTAGTGGTTTTATGTCCCAGATTTTATCAAGACCTGATCCACCAAAAACAGAAATCAGAAAGGACATCCGAGCGGTTTCCCAAGGTTTAAACAAATCTTAACATGGCAATCTACTCTGGACTAAAAATACTGGTTAGGCATTGAGCACCATCACAGGACATGAAGAGAGGTGTGATTCCAAGAAATCTGTATTGGAGTGAGTCCAGATTCTTCTCTCTTCTTCTTAATCTCCAACACCAAAGAGTCATTCTAAAATCCACAACCACATATTACAAACTCTACTAATACGTTCTCCTAAAACAACGTTTGCACAAACTTCCAGTAAGCATAGGCTCGGATTTAAGGCTACCCAAGGAATGAATCGAGGTCTGCAGTTTCCTCTAGGGTACCAAGGAATCCTACGGTGAATTCTTACCTTGCCTAGTCTATCTAAAATCTGGTACTGCGTGATATTTTCTGCCAGTAATTTAATTTCTTTGTTACTTCGTTATTTACTTTGTCTAGTGCTTCATATTTGCATTCTAAATCATCCGTAAATTGTTATTGTTTAGTTTTCAGTTTAGAATTGCTAGTCTGTTTCAGTAGCTGTTTTATGCATTTGAAACCCCTAGGCTGTCCTACATCAAAGTTCTGAAAATGAATAACATAGAGAACATGTAACAGCTAATGACACCAAAAGATTTTCTAGTACAAAGCATTGGTTTCACAATGAGATCCTCAGTGACAGGATGAAACTGGACCCATAGTATCAAGTAACCTGAGCAAACTAAAGTAGATTGGAAAGTTGGCAGTTTGCAAAATAATATCACAAGGAACTAACAAATATAGCATATGCATATCATCAGAAGGTGGGGTTAAAAGAGACTTCTGATACCTAGTTTAAGTACGGCATCTTCAGCTGCTTTAAACAGGCTTCTCCTCCTTTCGAGTTCAAAGTTCTTGTTCAGAAGATCTTCGGTACAATCGATGTTGCGGGGATATACCAACGTAGACATCAGCAAGGCAACTCGCCAAAAATCTTTGAGTTCTCGTAGAAGAAATCCTGGATGGTTGAAAATGCAAATTGAACAATAAGAACAATGTCACCGTGCATAACACGGATTCCAAAATAACCTCACCCTGCAGATTTTCTAAGAGAAAACGGTGAGGACACAGTAAGGTAATACCTGTCAAAACTCGGGATTTTGAAGCAAGAGGAACATCAACAAATTCTCTTTCCCAATCAACTTCAGTGAGTAGTACGTCCTCATTTGATGCAAAATAAGGAATCAATGGCAAAAACTTCTCGAAAGCGTAGTGTACATTTATAACCTGTAACAAAGAAAATCGTGAACACTTTTATAATAACTGCAGATTCCAGAAGTCTTGATATAACTACCAGCTTAGTATGTCCACATAATATGTGTACAACAGAGGGAGAGAAGTGGACTCAAACGTACTGTTTCAGCATCACTGACTTTTCGCTTAAGCGAGTCCCGGAAAATGTAGCTCACAACAGGAATCTGAAACTCAAGGACACAAATTTAGAATTGCAATACAAGCATGAAAATCAAGTGATGTTGACCAACTGCATAATAAATAATATCCCAGACATGCTAATTTCATACATATTTTCCTGTGACATAGGATAACCAAGCCCATACCTTCTTTGCTTTGTTATCTTTATACACGGTCTTCCTAAGTGGGAGGAACATAGCAGTATACAAAGCGAGCCTTCTTTGTTCATCCTGCATTCACATGTTAGAGGAACCGTTATTAAAAAAAACACACATGAAAAAAGGGAAAAAGAAAAAAGAAAAAAAAGAAAAAAAAAGATACACAAGCAGAATTTGAATTATAACAATGATCATTCCATATCTACTAAAAACAATGAAGTGAATGGAGGAAAGGCAAGAAAATTATTGTATTTCAGGTCCTCGTCACTCACATTAAAGGTAGAGTTCCCAATTAATTGAATAAGGTTCCATGTAGCATCCAAGTAAGCAACACAAAGCCTACATTAGGTAAGAAAGATAATCCATTAGCATGAGAGCCAGAAAAGAAACAAATGGAGGAAGGCAAAAGATAAAATTTAGAATGTATGCTAGGAATTGTATAAAAAATTATGCTTTGCATAACAGTCCTCAAACATAAGATCGAAAGTACATTGGACTCATTGGCAATAAATCTAGTGAACCAAGTATTTCATAAGTCAAAAAGTACATTTGACTTGCATTCAAAAGCCATAGCAAAGTGTAGAATAAATTGCGGCTGAAAGGTATACTAGAGGAGCAAGAGTCTTTGACAGCCTCTAGGTGCAAACAAATGATCCTGAGCAGAGTATGTTGCCTGTTTAATTTGCATATCTAAAATGGGTATATGCCAACTAAAAATTAAAACAATTTAAATTTCACAAACTGAGCAGAGCAGGGGCTTGTGACCAATTATCAACAACCCCAAAAACAAGACATAACAAGAATAAAAGAGCATGTAAGAGAACTTTACATTTTTAGACTCCTTATCAGACCCAATGTATCAGCGTTTCATTTTCATTGTCATTTAGCCTACCCACCAATGTATGATATAATAGAAATAGCCATGCTTGGCAAATCCCTTTTTTCCTTGGGTAACGATACCTACCTGTCACATCCTTCCGGTACTGCAGGCTCATACTTAGGGTGAAGACTGAAGACAACCCAAAATAACTTCAAATCACAAATGTAGGTCATAGCTTGGACAGGTTGATTTCCAGAGATCATGAGGTCAATCTGAATAGAAGAGAAAAAAGGGGAAAAAATGAACAGATGGGTCCTTTGCATATCTGGGACGCAGGATAATTTTTCACATTAAACAGCAACAAAAGTGTTATCATAAATCAAATAATATTCAGAACAATCAACACTTGAGGCATAAAAAAAAGGAATTTACTTCAGTACCGATGCGCTCTCTGCTAATTTTAGCTGAGAGAGCAGCTTTCACTTCATCACACGAAGCTGCTTCCTTTAGTTCTTCATCTAATATGAATCCAAACCTTGCTCCTGAGCACAAGACAAATATGAATCCAAAGCTTTCATAACAAGACACTAATGAGCTATGACTAATCCGAAAAATCAGCTGTAGAGAGCTAGGCTGTGCTATAAAATTGGAAAAATAGAATAAAATGACAAGTACCAAAACGGATAGCTCGAAGAACTCGTAGTGGATCATCCATAAATGTGGACTTTGGGGGTAAAGGAGTCACTATTTTTCCAGATTTCAGATCTGCAATTCCTGCAGAAGACAAATGAAACATTAAAACAAATAGTAATAATTATGGCTCTTGGTTAAAAGGAAAACTTCTAGAAAAGAAGGCACCTAAATAAAACCAACCTCTTTTGGTATAGTCTTCAATTGAGCTGGTATTAATGTTGTAAAACAAGCTGTCCAACAAAATGAAACCCCCATTAAGAACATAAGTTAATCCAAACAAATATATGTAAAGTTTGCAGCAATAGAAGCTGATTTAATAATTACTGGATAGATTCTTAGGGACGAAAGATACCTGTTAATGGTTAAATCCCTTCTGTATGCATCCTCCTCTGCTGTGCCATATTTTTGCTGTAAAATAGAAACAAAGTAACTTACTAATCATAAATTCAACAAGACTAGACTTAAATTTGATTTGACCAGCTTAATTAACTCTTTGTCCAACTAAAAGGGGCAAAATTGCCTCAAACTTTTAGTAAATTGAAATTCCACAAGATAAGAAAGTTACTCTTATGAAGGGTGTCTAAAATATAGGCATCCTTATGAAACAGAATATCATGGGTGTTTTTAACTCATAAGACCACGAAAGATGCCAAATGCCCTCATCCCATAGTCGAGCCTTAACATTATTCAAAATTAAACCCACACAAACACTCTCTCCCTCTCTCAAGCCCAGAACTTTCAGAACCATATCATTAATCGTAATGTCCTACCAAAACGAAATTAAAATGAAGAGACTAACAAACTCTAAACAATACATAGATTACAGAGACAAAAAAGGTATTTACCACAGTAGGAATGCGACTATTCTCACAATACTCTTCACACCTCAAGTTGACAAAATCAATCCATGTATCACATATGCGCATCCTCGCCGTTTCCAAATGTTTTGATTGTTCAGGATTGCTACAGCAACAAAAAAAAAAACACTTAAGTGGACTCTACTTAGATGTACATAGATGCTCAATGGCGAAGCCACATACCATGGAATAACAGCAATTCCTTGTGCCTCTTCCCCAACATGCAACAAGTAGTCCCTAACCTTTTCTACAAATTCGCTGCCTAACATGTTGTCCAAAGCGATATCAATGTCATAACAGTCCTTTCCCAGAAGCTGTAAAACCAAAACCGACCATTTTCAAAGCTAAATTTTAAAAATAAAAAATAAAAACAAATATATACCAGGAAACCATTTTCTCTCCATCCAAATATCACTTAAATCAGTACGAACCTTATCACGGACCCATCCGCCAGCGACACGAAGCTGGTTCTGTAGGCCAAAATGGCGAACCGTTCCAAGCAGCCTATCAAATATCTTCTTTTCGGTTTCATTCAGTTCGATGTTGTCCCGCACTTGTACGGTAGGGCGAGATGGGACTGCCATGATTGCTCTGCAAGGAGAAAACACTCGGGTTTTCGTGGGAAACCAGGAGATTGGGAGGCTGGGATGTGGATAGCAGCTTCGACGGAGCTTGGGAACAAAGATAGGCTCGCAGCTTAGTAAAGCAGTTTGGAAAGCTACTCTCATGCTATGGATGAACTTTTCAAGCCAATTTTCTTAGCCGAAACTAGTCAGAATCTCCTTTGTTTATATGAAGTTTCCACCAATATATTTTCCACTACACAAAGTATGTAATGTGCAAACCTTAAATCCCTAAATTAGAAAGAAACAGTATTAAAATAAAATTAAAAGAAGAAGAATTAGAAGGAGTAGAATTGAAGGTTAAAAATAAAAGTAAAAACAATAAGAAGAAGAATTTCGACTAAGGTTTGGGAGAGGTAAGAAAGAAGAAGATTGGGGTTTAGAAGAAGCAGCGGTAACAGTGGGCACAATGCTTTGCCTCTCAAAGGAATAATAATAAATTAACAATTAAAATATATACAAAAGGAGAAGGCCACAACCGACTCGCCACAACACTAGTGGCGGGGGATTGGCCGGAGTCACAAGGGCCGTACCCAACACCCGCTCCGCTCTCAACAAATCCCGGCTGACTTTCTTCCGGCGACCACCCACTGCATCAATTCGACAGATTCCGCTTCACGCGTCAACCCGACGCTCTCAATCGTTGGAAAACAACACGAGCATAGCCTAAGAGCGTTTCCATCCGTTGCCAAGCCCGAGGGCAGGAGTGGGCCCAAGGCCGTTTTGCGCCTTCCAGCGGGCCATGCTTGCCCGGGCAAAAGGCGGGTCCCACATAACATGGCCAGCCCAAGGGCTAAACGAGCTCGTGCTAAATCTCGAGGGCAGGCTGACGCCAGCTTGACATCAGTGCTCAGGTTCAAATTTTTTAATCGTTGGTGCATGATTTGAAATTACTTCTACGCCAGGCTGGTGTCAGGCCTTGCTTTCAGCCAACGGTAACACGCAATATGGCGCGTTTTGGTCGCTCCGATTTTTTTTTCCTCAAATCCAATGGCTGCCCTTTTTTTTTAGCTTAAAAAATTTGAATTTTTTAAAAAAATTACCAAAAAATTATAGAATTTTTTTTCTATAAATACCTACCAATGTTGTTAACTTTCAACACCAAATCCTTATACATTTTCTTCTCCTTCTAATATTATTCAAGTTCTACACAAAAATTTCTTCACTTTCATTTTTCATTTTTATTCGCCATCTTATGGCATTTTCCATCAAAGCCAGAGGGACATGGACAACTATGGAAGTTGTTTTGTTGTGTGAGTGTTGGGTCCAAGTTGGTCATTGTCCGATCACAGGCAATGAGATACAATTTTGTCATATGTGGAGAAAAATTCATACCGAATTTTGAGAAAGATCGGGTTCAGCTCGTACGGAAATGGCTTTGGCTTAGCAGGAGGAAAAGTTTGAATAAAGAGTTGGGGAAATGGAGAGATGCGTTGGCAAAAGAGAAGGACAACCATCAAAGCGGCAAAAATCTAAGCAATGGGGTAAATTATTTCTAATTTCTGTTTTATTAAATTTAATGTCCTAATTTTTTTTAATGTTTCTTGCATTTCCAAATTTTTTTTTTTGGTAATGTTACTTGCATTTTCAATATTTTTTTAATGTGTCTTGCATTTCCAATAATTTTTTTAAAATAGATTATGCAAGCACAAATGTGGTTCGGTGCCATTGGGCAAGGCAGAAAATCTTTCAATCATCAACAATGTTGGAAGGTGGTGAAAAATTGCAAACAATTCAGAATTATTCCCACGGGTCCGACTGTTGTGTTGAACGAGATGCCACTTCATGATTCAACGACATTGGATTAGCCTTTGGATTCCCCAATGAGTCAACACTCACCAATCCAAAAGAAAACGAGGCATATTGGTCAAAAGGCGGCGAAGGCAAAGAGAGGGAGTACTTCCAACAATGATACTACAAACTTTTTGGAACAAATTGCAAGGAACGGCCAATGATTGAAAAATCGGCCGATATATCTGTATTTTCAACTATCGACACCGATAATAGGGGGTAAGGCCATATCTTCCCCTGTATCGACGATATATCTCCGATATTTTGCCGATATCCCCGATATTTAACAATACCCATAACAAAATCCAAAAAAAATTCAGAAGTTTTGAAGGCAATTGAAGTAAATTGAAACCCAAAAATAACTAATCATTATCTGCACGGCCGATATTTTAATCCTTGCTAGCAGCACCCTTAATAATTGCCCATCGAGCTTGGATGATACCAAAACACCTTTCAACATCTTTCTTGTAACCACCTTGATAGGCAGAAAATAATTTTTCCTTCTCGGATTAGGTTGAGAGTTTTGAATACATCACAGAATCTGACCAAGCTCTCTAGAGTAGTGGAATTCCCCATCCTAGCAATCTCATCCACCTGATCAGCAGATGCACCATACGCTAGCATTCGTATAACAGCTCTGGAAGAAGCCCCAAAACCCCAGCAACATCACACTTCTGAACGAAGTATGCATCATAATTGCAAACAACATGCATGACTTTATTGAACAAATGAGGTTGCATTCTATGTCGACCTCGAAAATCAACATTAGAGTTTACAGAATTTGGGATAAAGTAATCTTCCAAAAGATTCTTACCCCGAGAATGCCTATGTCTGTCCAAGTTCGAGCCAATACCGACTTGTGAGCCACAACGGCGGCCTTGGCTTGATAGATCAAGCATACCCACTTCCATGGCAACTTGTTCATCATCTTCTTACTGCACCCTTTTTTCTTCAGCTCGTATACGCCTTTTTCCTTTAATTTCTTGCCCTTGCCTCTCCAAGCATCTCCTCATGTTTGACATTAAGAGTGGAGTATAAAATATAAAATCTGAGGAATGAAAGAGAAGTTCTGGTGATTTTATAGAGAAATTTAAAAGATAGAGATGACACGTGGCGCAATTTTAGAGAGTGAAAATCTTATCTTATAAATATGAGATTTGTATTTTATAATAAATATCAACACATGGCACTGAGTATCTTATCTAAAATTTGTGATTTTTTTTAAATAAATGTCAACATGTGGCAACCGAGAATCTTACCCGAAAATTTTATCTGAAAAATTTATTCGAATTATGAGATATGAATTTTATAATAAATATTGACATGTGGGAACCCAAAATCTTATCCGAAAATCTTCTAAAAATTAATTATTTAGGTAAAAAAAAAAAAAGAAAAAAAAAGAGAATAGTATTTGCCTTTTGCATTGGCAATTGGTGGAAACACACCTTGCCTCCTCTTACCCTTTGCCATGGAAAATGGGTGGAAGTGCTCTAACCCTCTCTGACCTTGGGATTGAACCTATAGCCTTCTCTCTCTCCCCCTTCTCTTTCTTTTTTTTAACCAAAATGCCCCTCCACTTGAGGGGCACGTGTTTTAATTTAATGTTTAAATAAAATTCACTTTTGGTGCCTGTGATTTATCACTTTTACCACTAAACTCCATGTGGTTTCAATTTGATCACTTTTGTCCCTTGGTTTCGATTTTTAAGCAATTCAAAGAGTTAGATCATTAGTGGAGGCATTAAGTAATGATGTGTTTGCTCCAACGTGGCTTTTTCGCTGAGGTGGATATCACGTGGCTTTTTTAGTCTATGTAAAGTAACCTAAGCAAAAAAAGCCATGTCAGAGCTGCCACGCCATCACTTAATGTCTTCTCTAACAGTCTTACTAACGAAGAGACTAATTTGTATGTTTTATGTAAGGTCAGGTACGTCCATGAAAAATTTAAAAGGTTGGGTACTAATTTGAAACAACCCCTAAAGATTTGATACTTTTAGGGCATGTTTGGTATGCCGCACTGTGGCTCACTAGACTGGACTGTGTTAAATAACACTTGAAACCCATGTTTGGCAAGGGAGGGGATTAACTTAAATGAGACTCTATAGTCCAACAGTTAAAAAAAGGGGGACTCGTGTGTCTAATATAGAGAGCCCAAAATTGGGTTCACAAAATAGCGAGCATCTTATTTTGAACAAGTGAGTCCGATGGATTTCCTTAGAGAAACTCCACCCATTTGTCCCTTGCCATGGCAAGGGGCGGGCTATGACAACCACTATTCACGTGAATAGTGGTTGCCCTTGCAAATAGTATTGTGTGTTTCCACCTGTTGCCATGGCAAAGGGCAATTACTATTCACTTTTTTTTTTTCACAAATTTTTTACCTCAATAATTAATTTGGATAATATTTTCGGATAAGATTTTTGGGTTCCTACGTGTCAAGACTAATCGGATAAAATTTCCAGATAAGATTTTTGGGTTCAAATTTAGAATGAATTTCAAAATTCCAATTTCAGATAAATTTGGGTTCAAATTTCGGATGAATTGCAAAATTCAAATTTCAGATGAATTTCAAATTTCAGATAAGATTTTCTTCCAATCAAATCAAGCCATGTGGCATCTCTATATGGCCAAAATTTTCTATAAAACCAGAGGCAATGCCCATAGTTCTCACACCACATCTTTCTATATTTTCATTTATCAGAGTTTAGAATTCTTACTCCATTCTCAAATGGAAGATTTTAGGAGATGCTTGGAGAGGCAAGAGCGAGAAACAAATGAAAGAAGCCGTAGAGCATATGAAAGAAATATGTTGCAGAGAGAAGAAGATGAACAAGTTGTTATAACAGCGGCTTTGATTGATGAAGAGAACCAAGGTTGCCGCCATGGTTCACAAGTTGGCCGTCACCAGAATATGGACAGACATAGGCAGTCTCGGGGTAAGAATCTTTTGGAAGATTATTTTATCCCAACTTGTTTGTACTCTGATGTTGATTTTCGAAGACGACATAGAATGCAACCCCATTTGTTCAATAAAGTCATGCATGATATTTGCAATTATGATGCATACATTGTTCAAAAGTGTGATGTTACTGGGGTTTTGGTGCTTCTTCCGGAGCAAAAGCTTACGGCTGTTATACGAATGTTGGCATATGGAGCATCTGCTGATCAGGTGGATGAGATTGCCCGGATGGGGAAGTTCACTATGTTGGAGGCCTTGGTCAGATTTTGTGATACAGTTGAAACTCTGTACATTAGGGACTACTTGGGCAGACCTACTCCTAGGGATCTCCAACGACTTCTACAAAAAGCCAAAGCTCGAGGATTTCCAGGAATGATTGGTAGCATTGACTGCATGAACTGGTAATGGAAGAATTGCCCAATTGCCTGGCAAGGTGATAATGGAAATAGAAAAGACACAAAAAGTATCATCCTTGAAGCCGTTGCTAGTTTCGACACATGGGTTTGGCATGCCTTCTTCGGAGTTCCCTGATCCCAAAATGACCTCAACGTGCTGGGTCAATCCCCGGTCTTTAATGATGTTTTGAGAGGCCAAGGCCCCAATATCACCTATCAAGTCAACAACACAGTCTACCAGATGGGGTATTATCTAGCTGACGGCATCTACCCGAGGTAGACCACATTTATCAAATCCATTTCGAATCCCCGATCCCATAAGTAAAAATTATTTACTTCTTATCAAGAAGGATACAGGAAAAATGTCGAAAGATGTTTTGGCATCCTTCAAGATCGGTGGTTGATTATTCGACGTGCGGCCCGTATGTTTGATGAGGAGGTCCTCATAAGCATTATGATGACTTGCATTATCCTCCATAATATGATTGTGGAGGATGAGTATGATTATGATGCTGTAGAGGTCTACGAATCGGATGCCTTTAACATGGCCTTGACACGAATTTATGAAAGGCCCATGGGGC